GTCCAACCCCCTGCTCAAAGCAGGGCCAATCCCCAATTAAATCATCCCAGCCAGGGCTTTGTCAAGCCTGACCTTAAAACCTTCTAAGGGAGGAGATTCTACCACCTCCCTAGGTAGCGCATTCCAGTGTTTCACCACCCTCCTAGTGAAAAAGTTTTTCCTAATATCCAACCTAAACCTCCCCCACTGCAACTTGAGACCATTACTCCTTGTCCTGTCATCTTCTACCACTGAGAATAGTCTAGAACCATCCTCTTTGGAACCCCCTTTCAGGTAGTTGAAAGCAGCTATCAAATCCCCCCTCATTCTTCTCTTCTGCAGACTAAACAATCCCAGTTCCCTCAGCCTCTCCTCGTAAGTCATGTGTTCCAGCCCCCTAATCATTTTTGTTGCCCTTCACTGGACTCTCTCCAATTTATCCACATCCTTCTTGTAGTGTGGGGCCCAAAACTGGACACAGTACTCCAGATGAGGCCTCACCAATGTCGAATAGAGGGGAACGATCACGTCCCTCGATCTGCTGGCTATGCCCCTACTTATACATCCCAAAATGCCATTGGCCTTCTTGGCAACAAGGGCACACTGTTGACTCATAATCAGCTTCTCGTCCACTGTCACCCCTAGGTCCTTTTCCGCAGAACTGCTGCCTAGCCATTCGGTCCCTAGTCTGTAGCGGTGCATTGGGTTCTTCCGTCCTAAGTGCAGGACCCTGCACTTATCCTTATTGAACCTCATCAGATTTCTTTTGGCCCAATCCTCCAATTTGTCTAGGTCCCTCTGTATCCTATCCCTGCCCTCCAGCGTATCTACCACTCCTCCCAGTTTAGTATCATCCGCAAATTTGCTGAGAGTGCAATCCACACCATCCTCCAGATCATTTATGAAGATATTTAAGAAAACCGGCCCCAGTCATCTTGAAGACTATGTGCAGTTCTTGTCACCCCTTCTCAAAAACAATACATTAGAACCGGAAAAGTTATACCGAAGGGCAACAAAAATGTTTAGGGGTATGGAACAGCTGCCATATGAGGAGAGATGAAAAAGACTAAGACTGTTTGGCTCAGGAGAGAACTGACTAAGGGGGGATACGATAGAGATCTTTAAATAATGAATGTGTGGAGAAAGTGAATAGGGAAATGTTATTTACCTCTTTACATAACACAAGAACCAATGGGAAATACACAATGAAACAACGTAGAGTAGTACTTCTTCACACAATGCATAGCCAGCCTGTGGAACTCATTGCCAGGGGATGTTGTGAAGGCCAAAAGTATAACTGATCGTGATTAATCGCGTGATTAAAAAAATTAATTTCAATTAATCGCGCTGTTAAACAGTAATAGAATACCATTTATTTAAATATTTTGGATGTTTTCTACCAAGTGTACAGTGCTCACTTTATATTTATTTTTTATTACAAACATTTGCTCTGTAAAGAAACTTCAGTTCACCTCAATGAAGTACTGTAGTGCAATCTCTATCATGAAAGTTGAACTTACAAATGTAAAATTATGTAAAAAAAAATAACTGCACTTAACAATAAAACAATGTCAAACTTTAGAGCCTACAAGTCCACTCAGTCCTACATCTTGTTCAGCCAATCACTCAGACAAAGAAGCATTCAGTGGTGGGGGAGGACAGGGGAGGAAGGAAGGAAGCAATGACTTGTGCAGGAGGAAAGCCTGGGAAGACAGGGGGTGACAATGGGGAGCAGTAAGCAATAATTTGTGCAGGAGGGTGAGGAAGGTGTCTTTCTTCTGCTTCTGGAAGGGTGGTTTCTGCTACTGGGCTCACCAGGCTTAATTCCTTTTACTGAGCTAGGTGGGCTCCCTTCACCTGAGTGAGCCTTTGTTTGCAAGGGAGGCTGGATTTTACCTCAGGGACTTATCATACTGCAGGGGAGGAGAGTCTGGTGCAGGGAGGCTGAGCTGGCCAGGCCCATGTTCTCTATGGGTTATCCCCGGAGCGAACGGCCGGCTAAAGGCAATGGGGCACGACGCAAGGGGGTTGATCCTGCGAATGAGGGGCTGGCCAGGAACAATACGTCCCGTTTTGGCTAGGACAGTCCCCTTTTTCAGCTCTGTCCCAGCCGTCCCTACTTTTTCATCAGAATTGGGTATTTGTCCCGAATACAAGGCAGAACAGAGAGTGGTGGCTGCTGCCTGGTGATCAGCTGAAGGCAGCACTGCCTGCCAGCAGGAAAGTGGAGAAATCTGCTGCTGGCAGGGAGTGCTAGCTTCAGAGCTGACCCCTGGGCAGTGCAGAGCTTGAGGGTTGTGGGGTGGGGAAAAAAAGAGATCAGCCTCAGACATGGAAGACACAGAGCTCGGGGAGGGGAGAGATAAGCCTCAGACGGGGGAGGCGTGGAGCTTTGTGTGGGGGGGGAGAGGGTGTCAGCCCCAGCTGCAAGTGGCACAGGCTCGGGAGGGGAGGGGGGAGCTGGTCAGCCTCAACCCCAGGTGGCATGGGGCTCAGGAGGGGGGCAGTCAGCCCCAGCTGCAGGTGGCACAGGGATGGGAGCAGGGGTCAGCCCCAGGCCCAGGAGGAATGGGGAGGGCAGCTCGGGCAAGCCCTGCAAAGGGAAGGGGGAGCTCCAGCGAGCCCCTGGCCATCCTGTTTTTACTTTAAAAAATATGGTCACCTGGGGGCGTGGGTGTGTGTGTGTCAACATCTCTACTTCTCCGCTGAAGCGGGAAAGAGAACCACTTCTTTCTCTAGCCTCTTCTCTTCCAGCCCCCTGGTGGCAGCTTGCATTACTGCACCTGACTGACAGCGTCTCCAGAGCATCTCATGCTGCCCTCCCGCCCAGAGGGTCTGTGATTAAAATGTGTTAAAAAAATTTACGCATTAATTGTGCTGCGTGTTAATTGCATGCGTTAACAGCAGTTAATTGACAGCCCTAATGACTATATTTCCTCTTATCAATACAATCTCTCCTCCTCTAAAATTACTTGCTAGTTCTGTGCTGGGCGCACACTGCCTGTACATCCTTTCACTCAGACCTTTTTCCCTGTCTTCCTATTTACAGAACCTAGCAGCTGTTGAAGACTAGCTTCCACCCAGGTCATTTCAGGATCCTACTTTCAAGATGCAGTTTTAGATACACCATGTAGCAGAAGTAATGAGCTTAAGTTGCTGGAAGAGAGATTTAGTTTGGACATTAGGAACAACTTCCTAATTGTCAGAGTGGTTAAGTACTGGAATGAATTGCCTAGGGAGGTTGTGGAATCTCCATCATTGGAGATTTTTAAGAGCAGGTTAGACGAACACCTGTCAGGGATGGTCTAAATAATACTCAGTCCTGCCATGAGTGCAGGGGACTGGACTAGATGACCTCTCGAGGTCCCTTCCAGTTCTATGATTCTATGTAAATTAGACCATTTTACACAACATTTATTAAAGATAGCAGTGCCCAACCTTTTCAGCTTGAGGGTCAAACATTATTTTAAAAACGTTTGAAGACACAAACTACTGAGGGCCAGAGAATTGTTCCGTTCCCTTACCAATACTGAGGCATCACCAAAGGGGGAAAAAAACAATTAAAAAACCCCATGTTGGGATCCTTCCACTATGAGAAAGTCCCAAGAAAGCACAGAGCCATTTCCTATTCCTCCCTCCCTGCAGTCTCTTGTGCAGAGGAGCCTGCTGAGAGCAAGGAGAGTGTGACTGAAGCCTGCACTCTGGCTGTCCCTCAGGTAGTGCCATCATCTCTAGGGAACTGCTGTCACCTGATCACCTAATGCAAATTAGAGAGAGCAAATTGGGGAGCTATAACTAGAGGTTGTTTCTCAGCTTCTCCTCCTTTTTCCTCTGTCCTTGGCTACCCTGGGTATCTAGCTGTGTAGAGGAAAGGAGCCATCCTTTGCTAGGAGCTCCCCTCTGCTTGGACACAGCAAATCAAGCTTCTGCCCGGACATCCTTGGGCCTCCCACAGCCCAACAGGGAAGCAGGACACTGAGTAGCCAGTTAGTAACTTACTTCCCTGTTTCTGCAATCCAACAGCCAGCTGGACTGATGCTGAGCAATGGGTAGTGGAGAAAAGACAGCAGCTTCTCAGAGCTCATGCCAGAGCTGACTGTAAGGCCTTGTCTACACTACCACTTAATTCTACGTAAAAAAACCAAAACACCCTACTGAGCGACGTAACTTACATCTACTTAACACAGTGTCTACACCGCACTATGTCTGTGGGAGATGCTCTTCCATTGACATAGCTTCTGCCTGTCGTTGAGGTGGTGCCAATTTAGTGCAATAGTGAAGACAAGCTCTAAGGTAGAGCAGGCAGTGTGAGACAGCTGTAAGTGTGGTTCCTCCAACCTGCCTCTTGTAGCAGGAACCTGAGTCACAGGTTGCACATACTAAATTAAAATAATTAGTGTAAGTATTTTCTTGGAAAATATAGTACAAGCTATATAATAGAAATCATGTACTTACTGCCACTATGGTCTTGGAAAACAATCCATCACAGAGTAAGACACTAGTATTAAGTTTGAGAAAACAAGTAATCTTTGAATGACAATGCAGTATAATTCATAGGACTGAATTCCTATAGGCAGACAGTGCCTACTTTGTGTGTGCTCCACCACTGGCAGCCATGCAAAGACAACAGACAACTGCATGCATGTAAATGTTCACCTACGTGCCTTAGAAAAATCAAGTCCAATTTTTTAAAACCCTTATATTTAAGTAATGCTTTACTGATATGTCTCTATTAGCATGTACCAGCAACTGACAAAATACCATTTACATAAAAGGGAAAAACTCATGAGAACTTTAAAATAGTAAGTACTGGGTTCTTTTTCTTTGCTTTTTGCTGTTTTCAGATTTTAAGGGTTCTAGCTTTTTCCCCCACAATCCTTAGACCTAGAAGCTTTTTTATTATTATTTATGAAAGCTGATATTCTTATATATACACATGAATCCAGGAGCAGCTTTAAGGAAAACAAAATATCACAAGATCCACAATAAAATAGCAAGAGCAGGCACAATGTAGTTATTACCTGTGTGGATGCGGCTATGCCTCTCCAGCTGACTTGGCTTAGCAAAAGCCTTTTCACAAGTATCACATTTAAACACTCGTGGCTTCTGGGAACTTAGTGAAGGTCCAGCCTGATGGGTTTGCATGTGCTCCTAATCAAAATATGGAAGAGGAAATGGCTTTATAAATTCATTTTTTAAAAAACATGTTTATTTACATTTTTGGGCCAATAGCAGAGGACTTTAGTCATCAATCGAAATAACAGAGTGAAGAAGATGGAAGCTGATATATTGTTCTTTAAAAATGGCGGAGGTCATTTTCTAAATGAAATCTGAGTAATTGTTGAATGATGTAAGAAGATTTTCTTTGTCATTCCATGTAGTTTATATATTTTTGTTATCACAGTTAACAGGCTAAGCATTCATCTGGCATTTGAGAAGTCTTTTTCTCACACACAGAAGGCATGTTTTCGAGCAAATGAGATTTTAGGCTTCAATATTTGGTTCACTGTAGTTATTAATGGTGTTTCCAATAGGTGCCTCTGAAATACACTGCAAATGGTGGAATTTTTCATTGCTTTGCGTGTTAACTGAACACTGAACATATGGGGTAATCTTGTACATATTAGACATCTAAAGCAAAATAAAGCCATCTATTTGTGTGATACTGTTCCTTGAAATTGTTTCTATGTTTTCTTTAACCAAATCCCTTTCTTCCTCACTATTTACATCTAGAGACCACAAAAAGAGTTTCTAACAGATTCAGCTTCTGGGGTTCTTGTAGTGTTCGATATAATGTCAAATTCTGTCCTCAGATACAAGCAAACAAAACTTTGTAGGACACAATCATTTGCAAGAATTCATTTTTTACATAGTGCTATTTGATCCCACATGACTCATCCTTTTAATTCTTCCCTGATGCTGTATGTGCATGGCCATGCAGGCACATTAAATAACATCAGAGATAATTAATCATTTTGCACACCTGGAAGCTCCGGTTCCTCAAATTACATAATCCACTAAATATGATGACAACTAACTGGCCATACAATGGTTAAGCTCCTGCTATAAAGGATAGAAAAAATCATATTCGATAATTTTGTCTCTGTTAGATAGCATCTGCAGGACTTTTACACAATCTGGAGAATAGTCCGGTCTTCTGCAGAATTTGGAGACAGCAGAAATTTGTTGCTTAACAACAATATCAACTTTGCCATGCCCATTCCACTCGGCCACTAGATGAATGCTTCCAAAACAATAAACTTGATTCATAAAATAGGAAGAAGGATGTTGACAAATTGGAGAGGTTCAGAGAAGAGCCACAAGAATGATTAGATGTTTAGAACACATGCCTTATAGTGACACACTTAAGGGGCTCAATCAAAGAGAAGATAAAGGAGTGACTTGATTACAGTCTATATGTACCTAAATGGAGAAAAAATATTTAATAATGGTATCTTCACAGTCTGGCAGACAAAAGTATAACCCGATTCAATGGCTGGAAGTTGAAGCTAGACAAATAAATAAAGCATACATTTTTAACAGTGAGAGTAACCATTGGAGCAATTTACCAAGGGTCATGATGGATTCTCCATCACTAACACTTTTAAAATCAAGATTGGATGTTTTTCTAAAATATATGCTCTGAAGATTATTTGGAGGCAGTTTGGGCCTATGTTATGGAGCAGGTCAGACTAGATGATCACAATGGTATTTTTTGGCCTTGGAATCTACGAACCTATGAAATTAACAACCCTTAATTAACACTCCTTGAAACATTCAAAACAGCTATATAACTGGACTAAACCTTAGCCAACTGGGGAGAATGGACTAGTGAAGATGCTGTTCAGCAGAAAAAAATTACATAAAACATTTTAATTTCCAGCCCATCGCATCTTAATTAGTCCCATGACTTCTGAGTAGTGAGCTATAAGAATGACTACTAAAGATATAATCTCAGGTAGTTTATCATAATGGGTTAGCCTCCCTGACAAAAACAGGCATTTGGACGCTATGTGGCATCTTTATATCTATAGAGATAGTCAGGTAGCAGTTTCACCTCTCTTCAGGTGTAGCAGGGGATTTCTACACTTAAGATGCTGATATTTACTTAACAGAATTGGATGTGATCTCTTAAAAGAATTAGTTGCTTAGAGGTGATCTAAGATTTTCTTATACTTTCCCTTGTAAGCCTTTGTACAAAGATGGTCTGGGCCACTTGCAGAGCTAGGCATCTGCCCCCACACGTCTGAGATCTCTCGCTCAAAAACGTATGAGTTGGCTGTACTTCCATGGGTGAATAAATCCACTTATGGTATCCCCAAAATTTTTCTGGTTTTTATTTGGAATACTATTTTGTTCAGGGCCCATTCTGAGGTCTCTCTCCTCCAGCAGCAAACCAGGTAGCCTTTTGATGTGCAGGAATCTTATGAAAATCTATTTTACTGTATCTGCTGGACTGTTTCTAGTGTTTCATTTTCAGAGGCCAACTCCTTGCTTTTCCCTGGCTATGTAGATATACTATTGTTGTGGTGTTGCCCGACTGATTAGATGCCCCCACCCCTTTGTGTTCAAATGTTAGTTTTTCTGTTTTTAACTCCAAAGTCATGCTTAGTTTTTTTCCTGTTCTGGCCAATACCCCTGGGTTGTAAATTGTTGGACATAGGCTCACATTGGCTTTGATCACCTTGCAATATGGCCTTGCAAGAGGCAACTATGTGCATTCTTTATGTCTTCCACCAAATGGAGGGAACTCAGGACCAATTTGCTGACCACTGTTCCTCATTGTTTTACACTGAGGTCAAATACTTGGAGTGGTGTCATATACAGCCTTGCCCAGGCAGGATCCCAATACATGACACCAGTGGTAACAGACAATGTACCCTGAACTGCTGGGATTGGATCTCTTTGAATCTACATGGTTTTATCTTGGAATTTAATTCCTGGGTTAAAACAATTGTCCCAGACACATAGGGGGTATTTCTTTCCTAGGTAGCATTCTCTGAAATTCAATTCAGTATATTTCAGGTTCATAATGTAACCCTGTTCCAAGAGAACTATTTGGGTTTTCTACGTTGCTATAATGGAGATCTGACTCTTATCAGTATGTTGTCCAGAAATAGCTGACAGATGGGTGCTTGATGACCACCTCCCTACTGGTTTTGTGACAATCTTGGGAGTTAACAGGCTAATTGGAAGTGTTCTAAACTGGAAGTGGTGTCTTATCTATACATAAACTGGAAAGTAGTGTCTTATCTATACGTACACAGAGAAACTTGCAATGGTAACAGCAAATCCAAACTTGCAGGTATATATTTACCCACTCTTACATGGGGAAATAGTCTCCTGAGGAGAACGCAGCTGTTAACATTTCCATTCTGAATCTGGATTTCTTCATATTTGTTGTGATGTTTCTGGTCTAGTTACACCCTCATTTCAGGATCTGTTTTTTTACCATGAAGTCACTGTAGAACCTTTCTGGTAATGCAACAGTTCCTTTGGCCCCAATTCAGAGAAAAAACAGGGTTTTTTTGATAGTTTGATGTTTACCAGCATTGAGAGAGGGAATGATTATGAAAAAAAGAGAGTGAAGTTTAAACTAATCGATGAGGGAACCCTCACTGCAGCACAGGATTTGTCTTGTTTGTTGAGGCTGCCAAACTGGATTGCTTCCCAGGGCTTTTACTGACATGCAGTTCTTTTTTTTGCCAGTCACCAAATGAGGAGGACCTCTAGTGTTTCTGTTCCAGGTATTTACCTCCAGTGTTTCTGCTCCAGGACCATCTTTTTATTGGTTTCCATACTTCTTTTGGAATATGTTGATGAGAACAGGGCTAAAGAACTACATCCTGTAGCTGGGATTGAACTCTTTCCCTGTGTTTCTTAGAAGAATTTGAAAGGGAACTTGACAGGGTATGTCCTTCGGCCCGCGCCGCTTCCAGCAGTTCCCATTAGCCTGGAGCAGCGACCGGCGGCACTGGGAGCCACGATTGGCCGAACCTGCGGACTCGGCAGGTAAAAACAAACTGGCCCGGCCCACCAGGAGTTTTCCCTGCACAAGCGGCGGAACAAGTTTGCGAACCACTGCTCTAGCAGATCAAATGTGTGCCACAGGTGCTTGCATCAAGACAGTGACAGATTCAAAATTCTGCTGCAAAGTGAGCTTTCAAAGAAGCCATTTCTGCATCTGCCTTTGAGATCAGGGTCAGATTCCCCTTCAGACCAATAGAATTTCATAAAGTCTCATTAGGTGTTTACAAATCCTCTTGGTTTTAAGTGAGACAGTGTCACTTACCTAATTATATTCTCCAGAGAATTTTGACATGGCAGGTTTGCTTACCTTTACCTGGCTGAATACCCTGCATTTCTGCACAGGGTAACAAAATAGGCAGGGGTTAATAGTCTTTCCTGCATGTCGTGTTCCTTCTTTTCAAATTTTGATAAAAAAAGAGCTGTTTTTTCTAGAAATAAGCCTGATGAGTAGTGTAATCTCAAGTTTTTTGTTCTTAGATTTTTATTTCAAGGTTTCTTCCTTTTGACATTGCTCAGCTTTTTGCGAAGGTCCATGCCTTGTGTTTGAGAATGGAGTGCCTTTAAAAAAAAGTTAAGCTAGTAACAATACAGTTTCTTTTCCTCATCTACTTCCGAGGAAAGAAAAATCTATTTAAATATGATCATCTTGACAATCTTGCATGTTTGACAGCACGTCTGCCTGTTTGCACAGGCTGGAGAGAACCCTCTTTAGTACCAAAGTAGAGACTGCATGAATTTTGGTAAAGTTACCTTAAAGAAGAGCTGTTCTTGTAGAAAGGGAGGTATTGGCATTTACCTCAATCTGAAATGTAGAACGATCATCTACATCAGAAGTACAGCAATTTTGTAGATGTAGCCTTCCTGATACCTGTAATGAATGCTCCATGCTTGCTGCTGAAAAATTCTTGCTGTGTTGGAATTTTGCTGGAATATTATTTATATGCCATGAGTTTTTTACGAAGGTCATCTGTGGACCGAGAGTAAGTCTGGCAGAGCTCACTGTTTGCCGAGGAAAGGAGGGGAGCTTCAGAGATGAATTTTTGCCTTTTAGGGGAGTATTTGTTTACCTAGCCACATGCAGTAGTGAAAGGGAGTGGCAAAGGAACGGCAAAGGAGCACTCTGAGAATAATAATTAGAAAACTCCAAAGTAAAATAATATTTACTCCTTCCTGTAAAGTCCAAATACTGTAAGACTGCTCACTCTTTCCAGAAATTCTGAAAAAACACTAAGACAATAGTAACAAAATAAGGAAGTTAAAAAAAGAAAACTTTGGAAAGCAGGAGCTTTCACACTTGCTATCTGCCCTGATGCAGAAGGCAGAACAACCAGAAGTAAAATGGACGTGGGTACTAAGCCACAAGTCTCACCAGTCTCCATATTCTGCAAAGAGAGGAGACTCCCAGAAGTCAGGACTAATGGAGATGGCATGCATTAGATTTGCAGAGTTAAAGTTAATTTCTGTTTCAGTACATTTCATCTACAGAGTTAAACACCATCAGAAAACTGAAATATTGAATTAATATTCTATTTGAAAATGCAAAACAATATATTTCCTCACAAATATATTTGTTTTGGTATTTTTAATAATACTAGGGCACTATTATTTAAATTCCAGAGTACTGTCTTTTATTAAGTATTTCAGTAGAGATCTGCAGTACAAAAAGATATATCTATTGCTACAGCGAGAGCGAGTGAGAGTGAGGTATTTTTGCACAAAAATGCTCATGTGATGCATGCCCTAAGGCCTAATACCAAAAAGGAAAGATTAAGCAGATGACAAGCATCTTTAATTCATTTACATAACTAAAATTCTAAAGCAAAAGAATGAGTGAACATATTAACTGGGAATTAAGTTATTACCAAGTACCTTGAGATGTGTTGCCCGTTTGAAGGCTTTATTGCAAACATGGCACACATGAATTCTCTCCTTGCCATGAACCTCTTTACTGTGGTGCATTAACATCGTGGCTGAAGAAAAGGTCTCACTACATTCAAAACATTGGTGTACACGGCCCTCTTTTTCTACTTGACTGCCCTTAGTCAGGTTAGAAGAAACCTCAGCCACCTGTAACAATTTATAAAACATGATTATACATTCAAAATTGGAGGATGACACTCTCAAAAACCAACAGAATTATTTTTGTTATGTACTCTAATCTGATCTATGTATTTTCAAATGAATCACATGAGCTGGACTCCAAAAATAAATAAAAAGAACAGAACGAGATTAGGGGTAAATATAAATTTGTGTTTGACCATTCCTCCTATGCCTCTGGCAATTTTTTTAAATGGAAGATTTGCTAGATACATTCAATATCTGAAAATAAACAGACAATATATTGTGGTATTAAGGGTACATGGGGTACATGGTGTGCATGCAGTCAAGTCTATGGAGATCTAATTCACAATATTCTTTATGTAGAAGGGATTGTAAAACCACATACTCAGTACTGGAAAGAAAAAGGACAAAGTAAATGATGGCTGCTTCCTAAGGTGTCACTAAGAGGTTCCAAAATATATAAATTGACTTACAGGATAATTTCCTTTGATTTATGTCCCTCCCTATCAATCCTTCACTGTGAACTCCCTCTGTGTGAGCAAAGACCAGAGGGAGTTCAAGCATTGTGCCTGAAAACTCCAGGTTTATACCCCACTACTTGGCTTCCCACCAGGAGAGTATTTTCAAAGCCATAAACAATAACTCAGATTAAATATTTAATTGTGAATTATCTTTTTTGTGAACTACTGTATGTACACAAACTATCCTTGAAAGCGTATAGGAAAAAAATGAGATGTAGTCAATTGCTAGACTTGGGAGAGTCCATATTGAAAAAGACATTAATCAAAAATATTGGGTAAGAGATTTTCCATTCCTCATGTTGTCCTATTCCCCCTACCTCCCCCAATCTATTTATCACTAGGGAAGATAGTGCAGGGGTAGTAATTTGGAGGGAGAGAGAGAGAGAATGTCAGAAATAAAGTAGATTTTGGTGAAACCAAGTCAAGTGAGTGGCCATTTTGGCAAGTGGGAGAGTTGATCCATAGTTCAAGATCACAAAGGGCAAAGAGGTGGTCAGGTCAGGTCATGGATCAAATGGAATATCAACATGGAAACTGAAGTCACTAAAGATGACTGGAGATTGAGATGGGGGGAAAGGTAGGCATCAAAATCAGGGAATAAGGCATTAGGGGAAGCATCGGGGCAGTAGACAAGAGCTGTAAGTAGCTGAAGGAAGAATAAAGTCTGATGAGTGCTACTTGAAAGAGGAATGGGAGAGAATGGAGAGACCGTCTGCAGGAAGAGGAGGAATCTGACACCCTGAGTATCGTTCTTTGGGTAGGATATACAGTTTGGAGAGAGAGAATTAAAATGCCCATATTAGAACACAACTTCAAAGGTTAGGGATGTGGGGAGTAGGAAGTGGACAGGACTGTGGTATTCTTTTGTAGAGGAGTGAAAAAGGGAAGAGAAGAATAGTGGTCTTAGTAATGAAATTGGAAGCGTATGGGACCCAAAGGGACAGGAAGGGTGACAGAGCAAGGTGTGGTTGGTGAGGAACAAGGGGCGATGTAGACAGGGGCAAGGTTGGGTGAGATGTTACTTGATGCAAAAAGAGTGGCATTATGGGATGATGGCAGCAGCGAGATGTAGAATGTCATGCAGTTGCAACGAGGCTGTGAGGTGAACCTGGCAATGAGTGAAAGGAGAAAAAAGAATGGAAAGAGAAATTGTGATGTAGGGCAGTGAGAAGGGAAGATAGGGTGGAACAAGAGGGTGTCAGGAACAAAGTAATGGAGGACAACTACGATGAGCATGGCTGCTAGAAGTCAAAAATCAAATAAGTAGTGAAGCAATTAAAAATGTGTGTGTGGTAGGAAAAATCACATGAACAGCAGAAAAGTTAGAGCAATGAAATCCATTGTATCAATCAACTGGGGTAATGAATTCATGCAAAAATTATTAGGTGACAATTTATTATGAAGAAAATTGAGAGCAATGAAACAGTTAAAAATATGGAAAATCAAGTGATTAACTGATGAATCAATATGCAGAGAATGAGACAATCAAAGGGATAATGAAGTGCTCAATCACTCAAAGAGCAGCCCACTAAATGATGAATTCACTAAGACACAGCTGAGAGGGTATCTCCAGAGACTGATGATAACTAAAATTGTCACCATTGAAAGATGGCATGACACCATCGAGGAGGATAAGGAAGCTGCAGAGATATGCTCCTCAAGTCCTTTCATCCTGTCCCCTGAACTCTTCAGAGATAGGAAAGATGGCAGCAGTAGTCGATAAACTCTGGATGGGTGCAATGTCCCAGTGGTGGGGACTGGGGAAGCTAGCTGTGAACAAGAAATGAGATTTTGCCACACACACCTTTCCCCAACCTCAGACAAATCTATTGTCTCCGGTGAAACAGATTTTAATGGAATATCTTAGACACAGAGAGAGAAAGGCAGATATCAGGTGTCGATGGGTCCAGGCCATTGACAACCTTAACGATAAGGATCACAACCTCTAAACTATTCCAGTTTTGACCCACATTCTCCTTATTTGGCAGTTTACTGTTTTGCTCTATACAGATTTCTTTAAGATTTGATTATCTCTTCAAAGTAATAATGAAATGGAACAGTCTTTTCTGTCTAGATCTGAAAGATAAGTATTACTCTAACTTTTTCCTCCTCTTTTTTAAAAGTGTATGACAAAGAGGATTAACAACACTGCCACCCACTGATACAAATCAAAGTTGTTTTTGGCTGTGGTCCAGCCTCTTGCTGCTCATTTTTTGGTTACTTTTAAAAACCTTTCTTGTGGGATTCCAAAGACCACTCGTGGCAAGGAAAGAACTTCTTCTTGGATGAATAAGACATTACTCCCAAGTCCATGCTTTATGTTAATCTCAGAACAAGAGGTGAAATCCAAATGGCATCCGATGAAGTGAGCTGTAGCTCACGAAAGCTCATGCTCAAATAAATTGGTTAGTCTCTAAGGTGCCACAAGTACTCCTTCTCTTTTTGCGAATACAGACTAACACGGCTGTTACTCTGAAACCAAATGGCACAGTACTCCTTCATACTTTTTATTCTAAAAACAATGCTTTTTCAACTGCTTGAGCGTGGTGCTGTATGGGGACAGCCTACTTGTCAAGCAGCATTTTTTACTGAGTAGTTTCTGAAAGCTTAGGAAAATGGAGAAACTACTTCCCAAAATGAGAGGGCAAGGTCAAGAAGGATAAACAAAGGGAAATGTCTCTGCTACTTTATGAGGAATTAAAAGAGGAAAGCTCCAGGAGAACTTGAAATTGCTGCATCTAGCTACTGATGGGAGGCAGAGCTAGCAGAAACCAGAGTACTTCGGGCTTAAGCCTGGAGTTTACTGCCAAAGCATTCAAACTTCCTACAATCTTTGCACACAAGGGAAAGCTCCACAATAACTGATTGATGGAAGTGTTACACAAAATTAACTTTTCTGCATAGATACTTGAAAAAAAAGTGGGTAAATAACACCAGGTGCTACCAGTGGACCAATGGCAAGCCCAATGAGAGTGGAAGGGAGGAAGGCCAGATTGTATGAGACACAACAGAATCCAAATATTCTACCATAGTTCTAGACAATACAAAAGCAGAATTGGGTAAGTGGTTTTGAACAACTCCTAAGCTCTCCTCTATGTTGTCTGGGATACTAGAGCCTAGATCACCATTCTTAACGATCTGCTATTTTAAAGGAATTAATAATTTAAGTGGAGACTGTTACATGTAGTCCTTCCCTTGCATAAACTCAAAGCATTGAGAGTCAGACAGCATTTTTACTGTAATCATACTGTAACTGTGAGAAATTCAATACCCAATAAAAATTTCCTTATCATTTTAAAATATTTCAGTGTAATTCTTTTATTACTAACCAGTACATAAGTGTTTTTAGGGCTTTGAAAGAAGCTCGATGGCCAAATGTAAAGGCGAGATTCAATCTGTTTAGTCCATAGAGGAAAGTCTAGACTGAAACTGAGCCTGCTAAACCACAGTAAAAGGTGTTAACCTGTGTCTAGACTAGGGAAGAGGTCGATATTAAGTCTGGGTTAGCTAAAACATTTTAAATAATCAGGATCTAAACTCAACCACTGAAATTTCCTCATCTAGACAAAGCCACAAACCCCATTTTTCACACATTAGGGGGGATGATGTGCACCAGAACAAACATTTTCTGTGATGTTTTCTGGATTAATGTGACGAGTACCACCAACGTTCTCAGAATAAGCCCTCAATTTTGCAAATCTTTACTCACATGCTTAACATTAAGCCCATAAATTGTCTCACTAATACCTGTGGGACTACTCAAGTGCTTAAAATTAAGCAAGTGCATAAATACTTTATTCTTTTAAAAAATGGATTGCATCACAGATGTTATTAAGCTAACTACAATATGAAAAGCTTGTTCTCTGTCCAGTTTCTTGAATGCAGCTAGTCTATTCCTCAAATGGTAAGATGATTTTTAAGATTTTTTAAGTGTAAAGCAGGTAAGGACTGTTTGCAAGGGAGAAAAAGTTAATTGCCTTTTAGAGAGTAACCAAGGAGATTCAGGTTTATCAATGTTTTGAAACCAAAGTATACCTTATCTAAGAATAAAAACTGATAATTATGAACATTAGAAAAAGTAATGTGTCATCTATTTGATAACAATATCCATCTGTCTATTTTTACCTAACAGATTTTTTCCCATAGGTCTGGCTTGCATGATTTACAGAAGAAATAACTAATTTAGTGAGAGTGATTTTTTCCCCCTCACTATGTAATACACAAGGAGTTTCTGCAAGAGACGAATGCTCTTTGTAAAAAGAACTGGAAGAAAAGAGTGATAATATATTTAGTCTGACTGTATTTGTGATGTAACCATTTTCTAAAGTGCAATATGATCCACTAAAACAAGTTATAGGGCTAGCATTTACATGTGTTAGCTTATTGGTTTTACAGATCATGAGCCAGAGATACTTGTACCAGATGGAGCTTCATTTCAATATATCTGTAAGTTAGTGCACATAATTAAAATGGATAGACAAAAAAACAAAGACCTTCATCTCAAAGCATAGCTAGAAATACTGTTTTCCATCTCACTAGATAGAATGTACTTTTAATAAAGCATTTGAACTGGTAATATAAAAAGCTCTTAACCAGCTCAATGGCTATGAGCAATAGGGGTGATAAGAGGGAATGACTCTGTCATACTTCAAAATAAGGAGAGTAAGGCCTCACTTAGAAGAATTCAGTAAAAAGGCATTTATGTAATAGAAATGGAATTTTAACCTTGACCAATACATACCTTTATGTTCTGGAAAAGAAAGAACACTGGTGGTTAGATATTTTGTGTACATTCCATGGCAATTCTGAGAATACATGTGTATCAGATGCGAGAAGGTGCATAAAGTTCTGGTGTAGTCCGTTTCTGTTTTTTCTTTAGCAAAGGCCACTTACACTTTTTACCAAACAAAATTCACAATTTTTTAAAGGATTTGGAAATGAGGGAGCGACATGCCTATAAACCTGTAGATTGTGCAAGTGACAGGATCTTTTCCATTTCTTTTATTTCTTCAGCACAAGTAAAATTTTCAAATGTTTTAGTGACTTAGAAGTCAAAAGCCCATTTTCAAAAGGGATTTAGGCACTACAGGTGAAATGGTTAAAAGTGCCTATGTCCAATTAAAATTCAATTGGATTTAGATGCCTAAGTTACTTAGGCATTTTAAAAAATTTCACCCCACATCGTTTTTTAAGGAAATAGCTTGAGGCTGCTTGAGAGCTTATTTAAAAATTCAGTAATTTCTAGAATGATATAAACAACTCAAACATGACAGCACACATTAATGTACATGAAATTATTGAGGGTAGTCATGACTAAAGAAGATGTATAGAATTTCAATAAGAACTAAACTAGAAAACAGAAATGGTAGATTAAGTTTACTAAAGTCAAGTGCAATGTAAAGCACATTGAAAAGAAAAGTTTAAACTGCAAATTTATGCACTAATGGGTCCTAAATTAGCTGTAACCTCTCAAAAAAAGACTGAAGTGTGGGCAGCAAAACCAAGATGTCAGCAATGGTTAAATAAAAACAAACATGATGCTACTGTAACCTGTATGAACAGGGAAAGTAGAGAAGAGTATTATACACAATAGGTAAATTGCTGTTACTCTTGTGTTCATATTGGTCACCTCATGGTAAGAGAAAAGGGCAATGAAAGATATTTGACACACTGAGATGGTGGAAATCATGCATATATCAAAAAGGCTAGGATTAGTTTGAAAAAAGAAAAGAAAAAGGAGATATAAATATTTGTATTTTTAAAGCATCCATTTTTAAAACAGAATTTTGGACACTACAAATATTCAAAAGCAAATTTAAACCGTAACTTATGCACCTTGTAGCAGTGATTAGGCACGGAGCTGCAGAAACTGCATGCATAAATTATGTTTTTTGTCATTTGCAATATTAAAAATCTAAATCTATATGAATTCTAAGACAAAAGCAATGGCAAGATGGAAGTTATGGATGAGAATTCATAATAGTTATTCATAGTCAGTACATTACAGGGATGATGTAATTCTCCCAAAACCGATCATTATAAAGCCAAGAAATTAAGAGTTAAGGTTAAACTTAATGTTATGAATTGGCAATGCACAGACAGGGATACTAAACCTTTACTTGCCCTGTACCGATGCCATACAATTATCACACTATTATGAGTATGGTGTTTTCATGGCTGTGGTTCCACATATGATTAAATTAATTTTCAAAGATTATATTTTTTCTTTTTTCCCCCACCTTATGGTAATTTGATACAGAATTGATAGAAAACTTGCGATTAATCTTTTAAAAATTATTCAAATGTAATCCATGCACAAGATTTAAGCAAGTTTCAACTATATGGGAAAGTCTGCATTATTCTGTTATTAAAATCACAGAGGAGGTTGGAGGGGGAAGATCTGGGAGGCGGAACAGGTTGGAGTACCAACTTTATTTAAGGACCCATTTTAAAGCCTGTACTAGTTAATAGATTTACTTGGAAATTCCCATAAAATGTATTCTATACTCAAAAAGTGCTATACTTATCATGAAGATATCAGATATTTTTTCATAGTTAACAAAGACCCTGAATCCCTGCTTTAAGTGCAAAATCAACCCAGTCTTAACTATAAAGCTAGAGCCTCTGTAATAAGCTACTTTAAGACAAAGTTAAAAAATTATATGAAACTCTCTGCTTCAGGACAAACGGATCATTTTCATATTTGAGTAAAGTCATGTTTTTATACATAAGAGTACACAAATAAACTACATCTACCTGATATGTTATTTCATCAGAGTTTGTAGATGTTGAATGTGGAGTATGGCTCACCAGTATGACTTGTTGTGAGCCCGAACCGCTTTGGCTGGAGAGACTAGAATCTGTGAGTAAAGCGGGGAACTGCTGACCCTATCAAAATAAAATTATTTAAGTGATTGTATTTACAAGCACAGTCAACTGTCATAATTAACCAGTAAATCCTAAAAGAATTATAAAATGGGGTTAAATAGAAACTCATTTTATCACTCAAGACTACTCTTTAAAAAGATTACTTCAAACATCGGTCTGAACAAATCACTTTAAAACAAAAAAACCAACCAAACCAACCAACCAACCAAACAAACACCCTAGCATTTTCAGGCCAATGGGGATTAAAAATATATCCAAATAAGCATATCAACTGTGCTAAATCCACATATTTTGAAGTGTCACATTATCTGAAATTAAACCACATAATGTATTACTGCCAACTCCATAGAGCAGGAAGCACCACACCAATGGTATAATACATTATATCATTATATATTTTGACCTACCATTTGCATGGTATATCATGACAGATATACCTTGTATAAGGTGTTTGGGAAGCCCACCATTTTTATTTTTCCAACTCAAGATAAATGCTTTTAATGCAAAGCTGAAGAGATCGGGGATAACTGGGAACGTAGTTACCTCCACAGACTGTATGTGTAAATATATATATACATACACACACACACACACACCCTAATCCACAGAAAATAAATAAGCAAACAACTTAGTCCTAGTTCAGCAAAGATAGAAGCCAGCAGTGATTTTCACATATTAAGATTGAAGGGAAATGTCACAGAGGATCTGACTGTACATTTGGCCTATGTACAACACCTAAATGTAGTCAGTGATATTAACGTCTAACTTTCAAGGACAACAAATGTAATTCAGCTAAAAATTATATGAAGAGTTAAGTTATTGCTGAACGTGCAAATGGTTTTGCTTTGCTACCAACCACTGAAGTCCTTTTTCATGTGAAGCAATTGGGATTTTTTCTTCATACTACTTGCCAATGCACCTTTAGCTCTATTGACGTACTGGAAAGGTTCCTAAACAGTGGCTCATGAACCACGGGCAGATAGTGTTGGAGAGCTAAGTGGTCACACGGTGCTGGCTTGCGTTTTTTTTTTCAGCTGCTAACTTATTTTAAAAAGACAGTTACCAACTATAATATATACTCTCCTATTATTTTCCACAAAAGAAACAGCTGTATTGCCACAGAAATTATGTGGTCACAAATGGATGGACAGCAGGTTCACAAGACAACATACTAAAGTCTGGTCCATGCTACAAAATATTTTGGAGGCCTGGACCTAAAGTCACTGATTACTATGCACCAGCATTTTCAAGATGAAAAATAAATATCTTATTTAAGTCTCTATAGGTTTATTCACATTCACAAATACTTGCTCCTAGAGGAAGGTACCACTGTCAACCTTTATATAATGTGTCTTCCTTCATTATCTCACACTGGTGTTTCTCCTGTTAATTTTCCTAACCGGACATGAAGTGGAAGAGGTCACTGGGATTTACTGTTAAAATTTCTAAAATGTGTTCTTGTATTGTGACTAATTTGTCTAATTTTGATTAAGTAGAAATCACTATTACAAACCCAGTGAACTTTCTCTTGTACTGCAGTATTACAGAGTAGACAGGAGCAAGGAGCAGAGTTACATATCCTACAACACATGGAAAGAACAGTTTCTTGCCTTACAGCAACTGTGACTCTTTGACACGATGTACACAGTGTCAATCTCACTGTAGGAGGCACGCACCTGACACACACAAGACCAGATTATACTGGATATGAGGGTTGCATAGGCATCCTTGTGCTCCCATCTGAGGGATAAATGGTGGAGGGGTCATGACACTTCCTCAGTTCCCTTGCAACTCAAAGCCCACATTGCAGACTACTCCAAAAAATGGGGATGGAGGGTTGATCACAGAACCACACTGACTACAGTATCTCAAAGAACCACAGTTACTGTAAGGTAGGTAGCCATTCTTTTCTCTTCACGTACAATGTGTGTCAGTGCAGATCCCACTATAAGTGACTAGCAAGCAGTCTCCCCTTCAGATGGTGGGAGTAAGAAGCCACAGCTGTACAATCAAAAGCTATGTTTACACTTACGATCCTGTGTAAAGAAGACACTTTACACTCCCACCTAGCATGGGTATAAGTATCAGCATAGTTGACAAGGCACGGCTTAGGTGAGCAGAATGCCCTACCTATACAGCCAAGATGTATAGCCTACAACTCTCAACGTGCCAAATGCTTCTCATGTCTGCACTGCTATTTTTAGGGTCCCTTTGCCTCAGCCTTTCCCCACCACAGTGAAAGGCTATGACAGCGGGGAGATACCAGGGAACAGCTCAGACAACTATCTGCTGCTGGAGCCTTTCACTGTCACGTGTAGCTATACCCTGCAGTGTCAGGTGTGAACACAGCCTGCCTTTCACTGAAGCATGTAGCTACACATGTAGTACCTGTATTCTACACACTTCCCTAAGTGTAGATATAGCCAAAGATTGCAATCCCACTTTTGGTGTCTCCCCTGGCTATCCTGTCAGGTGCATATTTTTAAAAAGATCAAAATCTCTGAGCTCAGCACATTTCTGAAGCAGGCCAACGAGGTTGCCTGTGCTCTGTTCATCAGCGCTCCTTGTTGTTTAGCAAGACACGCTCATTGACTAGCTGGTAACAAATGGTAATGTACTCTGTGATCTGCTTTGAGAGTCTCTGGGAAGATATTGCTTGGCGTTTACATACATCTGATAAAGCCACAAAGAGAGACACAGTGAGTTTGAAGGGCTTTGTTCTTCTAAATAGTAAAGTAGGGCTCTGGAGACATCCAGAGTGTGAAATTTCTTTTCTCCTGGAGAAAACAAGTGTGATTTTGAGAAGAAGACTGCCAAGATGAGTGACTGATTCTGATGGAATTCTGAGACCACCTAGGGGATGAACTTGGGGAGGGGACTCATCATCACCACCTTATCCCTGTTAAAACAATGTGTATGGTGTCCAGCCATAAGGGTTTAGATCTTGCTGACTTTCCATACCAACCTGATAGCAACTAAGAAGACTGTCTTGATGGTAGGTGGTATAACGAACATTTTGATGAAGGGTCAAAGGAAGGTTTCATGAGCCAGAGGAGGGCAAAAAGAGGAGTCAGGTCTCTAACTGGATGTCAGGCACGAAGGAAGCCCTTAATAAATCTCACCACTGTACAGTGTGAAAAACTGCAGCAGCATACAGTCCAGAATCTGGAATCAGGTTTTCAACAAGATTTACATTACTTTGGGCTGCCTATATGGAAAAAAAAAATCACCATTTGAAAAAAAAGTTCTGCTAGTTTTCCTGCTCTGCATAAGAACCTCTTGCACCTGCCACAATCTGTGTCATGAATGCTCATCCACCCCAGTATCCAAGACAGCTGTGTGCAGCAAGTGCAAGTACAGGTGCAGTATCTGTCCAGAGTTCAGAGACACTATGTCTGGGCAAAGAAGGGACGCATATAGGAGGTTGGCTGGACATCTATAATAGGTCTGACAGACAAAACTGTCCCTGCCAATTGGGGGCTATCATGATAATGGTAGCCTTGTCCTCTCTGATCTTGGATATTATCCTGGGGATCGGTTGGAAGGCATAAAAGAGACTGTGAGACCACCAAAGAAAAAAAGCATCCAGCAGAGACCCTAGGTATATGCCTCCGTTGGAGTAGAAAACCTTGCATTTGGCACTCTCTATTGTGGCCAAAATAAATCTATGGCTTATTTGGATGGGTCCCCCATCATCAGAATATTGGGTCTAGGATGGATTCCACAGCAGTCATTCATGGTTAGTTACCACATTTCTGCTCAAGAAGTCTGTAAGGTCATGGTTGACTTCTGGAAGAAGAAAGTCTGGTGGAAAATCATCCCGCACTGGTAACACTATTCACCGAATTTGATGGATTCCAGATAAAGTGAGGACCATCTGGTACCCCGCTTGCTGATACAGTGTATCACCATCATACTGTCCATCACAGTTTGCACTATATTGTTTCACAGACATTGCACAAATGCTATGCAGGCCAAGCTGGTGGCCCTCATCTTGACAACGCGTAACTTCAGATTGCCTGGAGACCACACTCCTTGTATTTGGAGTTGATTCAGGTGGGCACCCCAACTTGTCCCTGCTTCATCTGTAATAAGCTTCACTGTTAGCAAGGGAATCGAGGACGAGACCCACCTTTCCTCATATCAAGAGGTTTAGTCACTCGGTAAGTTCTCACAAAACTTGGGACGGGACAGTGACCAACAGGTTCATATTGTGTTTGGATGGGGAATATGCAGTCCTTAGCCCGTGCTGTAATGGCCACAGGTGAAGTCAGGCAAGCAATATCACATAAGTACATGCATGTATGTGTTCTAATAATCCCAGGCATATGCAAAAGTTCATGGGTAGTCTCATCCTTATGTCACATACAAGCAACTGAAGAGATCTCAATTTGTCTTTTGACATGTATGCTTATGATATCTGTGACTTGAGCAGAGTTCCTCTGAATTCTACATTCTTAGAGGGCATGAAAGATGATTTTTCATAGCTCACCAGGAGCCCTAACTGAAAGAACTGGAGGAGAACTTGATCTAGGGCTGTCTTGTCTCATCCCGGAACTTGCCCCTGAACAGCCAGTCATCTAGGTATAGACAGACATGATGTCACTGTTTCCCTACAAGTGACACTACCATGGCCAAGCACTAAGTGAATATTCTTGGTGTCATGGAGAATCGAAAGGGTAGAAAGTTGCATTGAAAATGGTTGAGTCCTACTATAAATTTGAGGTTCTCCCAGTGAGGGAGGTGGAGAGCTATGTGGAAGGAGGCATCCTGCAAGTCATGAGATGAACCAGTCTTGAGCTGGGAGCAATGGAATGATAGAAGCAAAGTGTTACTATCCTAAATCTGAGGCAGCATATGTATTTGTTTAGTTTCCTCCGGTCTAAAGACAGGGATAAAGGATAAAGATGGGGAGTAAAAGCCTCTTCCTCTGTAGTCCTGAGGCACCTCTGATATGGCTCCGAGGTAGAGAAAGAAGGCCAATTCTGTTTGTAAAGGGCTCTTGTGAAAAGGGTCCCTGAAAAGGGGCATGGAAGAGAAAACAGGGGAGGGAAAGGAACTGGGTAGTATAACCTTGAGTTACGATGTCCAGACCCAATTTATCAGTGGTAATATCCGATCAATGCCCATTGGAATAAGGTTAGACAGTTTCCAAAAAAGGGCTCCATGGACCTGTCCTGGTGCAACTCTCGTCTGAGTAGTCACATCTGCTGCCATTATGTGTGGACAGAGTTCATGAAAAATGATGTCCTCTACTGTACCTTATCAGCTTCTTGGAATGGTATTTCGGCTGCCTACAGTAGGACAGCGTGTGCTGTCTTTGCTGGCGCAAAAGAGAGCTCAGTCACACTGGAGTCCTTGAGCAAGCATAAAGGCAGTGTCAGTTTTCTCTCTGATACTTCAAATGGCAGATCCTCAACCATAGTTTGTACTCCATGAAGAAGGCACACAGCCTGGAGCCAACATGCCTTCCACATTGGCAACACTTAGGCCATGTACCTAGCTGCAGTGCCTGCTCTGACCATAGCTGCTTATAAGGTCATTTTGGCCACCAGCTGAGTTTGCTTTTATGATGTCCCTGAGCTCCTCTCTGCTCTCACAACATTCACTCTGCCCCAAGTTAAAACGTCACATTTGGCTTGGAAACCCTGATAGCCACTTACAATTGAAACAATGCACAGAGTAGGATTTTCCCCCAAACAAATCCAGTCTTTATCTTTTGGCACATTCTTGGCCGAACAAGACTTCTCTTGGACAGTTGAGACCACTAAAGATCCAGCGACTGTGGCTGAGGCAAGGATGCTGCTGGAGAAGGAGATCTTTTCCTCTTCCAAGACTGAAACAAGGGGCTTGGAAGGTAGAGACCGGGCAAGATGGACCGTACACCACAGGGGCCAAGGAGGCATCCCATATGCATCCATGTGGCTGGTAAGTTGCTGACTGGACCAATGCCAGTCCTGGCAGGCCAAAGGCTCTGATGAATTCCTTGGGTTTCTTGCTGGCACCACTCATGGATCACATGGGAGGGACAACTCCCTGCTAGTACCACCTCATCACCAGGATGCAAGCTGTCTCTCTCTTTCATGGGTGGCACTGATGAGTAGGGAGCCATAAGTGCTGGGGCCTTGTTGGCCCTGTTGGATACTGCAGTGCTGATGTATGTCCTGGGTGTGGTCCACGATAGTTCACCCAATGCCAGAGTTGATGATAGTACAGGTGCTTTTGGTACTAAATGTAGTCTGCTGCCCTGCAATCTACTCCTTTTCACTCATTTTTCATGTTGGATAAGGTTTATCCTCTTGCCTTCCGGTCTCTTTCTGGATGAGAAGACACTGAGCTTTTCCTCAAACTCCTGTCCCAGTGTTCTGGGTGGCCTGTTTTAGTGTCCTGTTTCAATGTCTGTGGTGGGGAGCATGGATCACCTTTCATGTTGCACTCCCCACCAGTTTCCAGTCCAGGCTGGGGAAGCTAATGATCCAACTAGCAGACCAAATTCAGTGATGAATCCTGGCCATATGCCACCTGAGGCTCGCTGTGTATACGAAGCTGTGTATGTGCTAAGAAGAACGTCTATGATGTTGACTAATTTATGCTGGCTATCATACATATATATAAAGCATTAAGTATCCACATTAAGTATTAATATAGCAGTTATAAATCCCAAATTAGTCTGTACCTTTGAAATAATCCCGTTCACCTATGTGAAATATCCCATACCACCTTGCATTAACTTTGGCTTAGAGTAGATAGGAATATTGTCAGTATCAGGACATATAATTGTTTCCTTATAGAAACAGAAAGGCAGTTACCCTCACAAACCTATTTATCCTAGTACAGGTTTAGGAGGTGTCTTCAGATCCCTTAGTACCTGGAATGCATTTACCCATACTAAAGATAAGGGTCCATCATGACCTAGAATGCACAGTGTGTTCAGAACAAAGATAAGGGGCACACCAGAAAAACAAGATAAAAAGCTAATTAGTTGAACCTAGTTTCAAATGAGGAATATGGTTTCTTTTAAGATTGCTTCAGGAGTAGAACTTTGGAGAACACACCTTCTGTAATAAGGTGAACGTAACACTGCTCTACAGGATGGCTCTTTTGAAGATTGGTGTCATATAGAACCTTTTTCCTATATCATATTAATAAACTTGACTGACATTGGTTATTTAGTCTCTTGACCAACTGACCATACAATTTATCAAAAATGGCATCATCTTTAATGTCAAAAGTCTTGATAGGTTCAATGCTGCAGTTGGTGATAGTGTACATCAGAGGTGGGCAAACTATGGCCCATGGGCCACATCCGGCCCTCTGGACCCTCCTGCCCGGTCCCTGAGCTCCTGGCCTCGGAGGCTGGCACCCAGCCCCTCCCCTGCTGTTCCCCCTCCCACACAGCCTCAGTTCACTGTGTCGCCGGCGCAACGCTCTGGGCGGCGGGGCTGCGAGCTCTTGCTGGGCAGCGCAGCTGCAGAGCCGCAGCCTGACCCGGTGCTCTGTGCTGTGCGGTGGTGTAGCTGGCTCCAGCCAGGCGGCATGGCTGCCTGTCCTGGTGCTCTGGGCGGCACGGCTGTAACACCACCAGCCACTGGTGCTCCAGGCAGTGCAGTAAGGGGCCAGGGAGCAGGCGGGGGGTTGGATAGAAGGCACGGGAGTTCGGGGTGGTGATCAGGGGGCGGGGGTGTGGATAGGAGTCAGGGCAGTCAGAGGGCGGGGAAAAGGGGGTTGAATGGGAGCAGGACTCCGGGGGGGGGGGGAAGTCAGGAAGAAGAGAGGGGGTTGGATGGGGCGGCGGGGAGCAGTCAGGGGCAGGGGTTCCAGGGGCGGTCAGGGAGAAAGGGTGGTTGGATGGGGCAGGGCTCCCGGGGGAGCAGTCAGGAATGAGAGGAGGGGTTGAATGGGGCGGCGGGGGGCAGTCAGGGGACAGCAAGAGGTGGATGGGGCAGGAGTCCTGGGGGGGCCATCAGGGGGCGAGAAGCAGGTGGGGTGGATAGGGAGCGGGAGCCAAGCCACGCCACGTAACCGGCCCTCCATACAATTTTGGAAACCCAATGTGGTCCTCAGGCCAAAAAGTTTGCCCCCCCCCGGTGTAGATATTAATGTCAGTGCCAGTTGTTTTCTTGATGCAGTCTTCTTTGCTGTGGTCTTGGCATTACCTGCCTGCTTAATGGAGTGCTGGATGGTGCAAATTTGAGCAGTATGGGGATACTAGAGCCTAGATCTTCTGGGTCTCACGTCACTCTCAGACTGTTCCAAGAGATGGAGCTTCAGTCTCGCTTCTCTTGACCTTTAAGATGAGTAGAGAATGAAAGGCAAACCGAGCACCTGCTGCTTGGATGAATTATACACCCCAAAACCAGGCAACTGCTGTGTCCGTCTTTAAGAAAAATTAGTCTGTCAAAGGATGAACAAGGCTTGAAGGTTTTGACTCCACCATCTTGAGATCTTTCTATAAAGGGGTATGTCCTGAGGGGGGAGGGGGAATGGGGAGAGAGTGTTGTATAAGGGGATCAAATCAAAGAAATTCAATCTGGACAAGGATTATGCAGTTGAAAATTAAAGAACTAAAAGCTGTTCTAAAGATTGGTTCCATTTTGCTGCCACTGACAGTAAGAGGAAACTTGGGGAGGATCACGGGAACTCCGGCCTTCATGCTTTCCCATGGGAGCATGAGGTGGCATAAGCTGTAGCTCCACATAAGAAATTCTGTCATGGTTCTAGGCAACAATGTGCACACTGTTAGCAGCAAAAATGTTTATTGCATCTTCATCTACTGTGCGTAAGTGGTAAAAATTACTTTCTGAAAAAACATTCAGACACTCCAGTCCCTTGAGGTTGTACTATTACTTTACCAAAAGAGCAGAGCAGTAAATTGCACTGACCTGTGAAGTGATATTAAGTGTAACTGAATCAAGACCACTAGATAACATGCCCTGAGTATCAGCCAAGGTCAAGGTGACACTACCATCTCCTCCAACTCCTGACGAAGACATTACTAAATTCTGAGCAGAAACTGTGGATTGAGACATGGGTGGTGTTGAAGGAAGATTTCCACTTGAAGTATTAAGTTCTGCAAAAAATAAAGTATGCACAACATTAAAAACGGAAACAAGCATCAATCCTAACTACAGAGCTACCTTATTTTAGGTGAATAACTTAGGTGATAATTTCTTGCTTGCTAAGAGTTGGTGGCACTACTGCAGATCTTTCTCCTCTTTTAGTCAGACAGGTGGCAAACAACGGGAAAAACAATTTACTTCCTTGTAACTGGAGTTTGCCAGATATGTAGCATCACAAAGATGTATGTGTGAGAGCCTTGCACTGTGCTGCATGGACATGGGTCCATTACAAGCAGTATAACTGAAGACAAGTTTTCAGTGATAGGTAACACACTATGGAACACCCTACCACAGGAGGTCAGAATGAGTCTTCATCTGATCACCTTAGGAACTCAAAGGAAAAACTCACCTTTTTCAAAAGTCTACTTACACCAGAAGCAAAGATGACAACAAAATTTATTGAAACCCAAAGAAAGAAAATTCCACCACAAAACAAAAACCAGTAAAAGTGACCAAACATTAGGATAGCGAGAGCAGAGCCAGATCTTATTTTCCTGTATAAAAGGCTCAGATATTACAGTGAGATGTGTCCACTCTAATATAAAAACAACAACAACAACATAAGACCAAAATTCTGTAAACAGATTAGTTAATGCATCTGTTTACAGAACAGGGCCCCAAAAATATAAACCTACGTTAGAACACATTACAGTGTATGAAAATAATAGAAATGTAGTGGCTTGAAATAGCCACAAGGGAGTTCCAACAAGACAAGCTGCCTGTTCATAAAGTCATGAACCAATTTATTCTGAATCTGAAATAACTGGGGCTATGAGAAAGTCATCCTCAGGGTGTTCAGAAAATATTGCAATAATCTAAAAGCTGCACTGCCACTATCTAAATCTAATGAATTCATTTATAACTATTCAGAGCCAGTTCAGACACTAAGACAAAAGGAGACATTACTTACCTTGTATAATGAGTTATTTGAGATGTGTCCCCCACTTGAGGTGTACACACATCCCTGGCACATTTGATTGGAGACTTTCAGCAACAATGCTCCTTCAGTCCATGTATGCACCCTAGCCATCTTCATGCCCTGTACTGAGGATACTTAGGACTGTGATTGACAAACTATCCTCAAGTTCTTTTCTACCACAGAAGTCCCAGTGAGAAGAGACACTGCAGCTCAAGGGAAAGGAGGGCGGGTAGTCGAGCACCCACAGGGAGACATCTTGAAAAACTCTAGTTACTGTACAAAGTAAGTAACAACTTATTTTTCTTCGATTAATGCCCCTATGCACACTCTACTTGAGTTGACTCTCTAGCTGTATCCTCTGAAGGAGATGGGCACTTCAGAACCCAGCCTAGAACTGTTCGTAGAACTGCAGAACCAAATGTAGCATCTGTTCTAGAGGCATTCACCAAGGCCTAATGTGTTGAGAAAGTATGAACTAATGCCCATGTAGCAGCTTTGTAGATTTCTGTAACAGGAATATCTTTCAGTATGGCAATGGACATAGGTTGAAATCTAGTAAAGTGGGCTATTACCCTATTTGGACATGGCCCATTAGTAGCTGGATATCAGGAGACGATGAAGATGGAAACCCATTTAGAAAGTATCTGGGAGGACACTAATGGAGAGTGTGTAGGGGAGGGCAGCTAGTGGTGAGCGGGAAGCCAGGAGCCTGTGGGGCTAGGGTTAGGTTAGGGTTAGGTCAATGGAAGTGCTCCTGTTGAGGATGCGCACTACCGACCGAAGGAGGGTAGTATGGACCTGAACCACTGCAGTAATTATGTAAGATGTCTATGGAAAAATTATGATTTGCGGAATATGATTATCCTATTTGTATGAATGCATCATTTTGTATATGAAGTTATGAATATTAACTACGTACCTGTATTTCAAATGTTTGCTCCTATGGTAGCACCAACAAGGTATTTAGCCAGCACATTGTGAAGGAACTATCCAAGTTGAATGGCCCATCAAAGAACACTTAACTCACAATGAACCATGGAAGACACCTTAATGGACTTTCCTGTGAATGTTTTAACTAGAGTAGGAGTAATGGCCTCTGCTACAGCAGGCATGGACATGTGACTTGCTGTCATAAATATAAAGGGAAGGGTAAACCCCTTTAAAATCCCTCCTGGCCAGAGGAAAAATCCTCTCACCTGTAAAGGGTTAAGAAGCTAAAGGTAACCTCGCTGGCACCTGATCAAAATGACCAATAAGGAGACAAGATACTTTCAAAAGCTGGGAGGAGGGAGAGAAACAAAGGGTCTGTGTCTCTCTGTCGGTATGCTGCTTTGCCGGGGATAGAACAGGAATGGAGTCTTAGAACTTTTAGTAAGTAATCTAGCTAGGTATGCGTTAGATTATGATTTCTTTAAATGGCTGAGAAAAGAATTGTGCTGAATAGAATGACTATTTCTGTCTGTGTGTCTTTTTTGTAACTTAAGGTTTTGCCTAGAGGGATTCTCTATGTTTTGAATCTAATTACCCTGTAAGGTACCTACCATCCTGATTTTACAGGGGTGATTCCTTTACTCCTATTTCTATTAAAAGTCTTCTTGTAAGAAAACTGAATACTTTTCATTGTTCTCAGATCCAAGGGTTTGGGTCTGTGGTCACCTATGCAAATTGGTGAGGATTTTTACCAAACTTTTCCCAGGAACTGGGGTGCAAGGGTTGGGAGGATTTTGGGGGGAAAGACGTGTCCAAACTGCGTTTCCCAGTAAACCAAGTTAGAGTTTGGTGGTGGCAGTGGTTATTCCAAGGACAAAAGATAAAATTAATTTGTACCTTGGGGAAGTTTTAACCTAAGCTGGTAAAAGTAAGCTTAGGAGGTTTTCATGCAGGTCCCCACATCTATACCCTAGAGTTCGGAGTGGGGGAGGAACCTTGACATGGTGGCAGTGGTGGCTGTTGGTAAGCAGGTTTCCAAGTAGTTGGAGGTTTTTTGCTTTGATTTGGGGCCAGAGCAGAGATAAGGGAATTGTCTTTTTCTGTAGGCTGACAATCACTATCAGAGAATAGGTATTCTATTCCAGCACAGCAAAATTTTACAGCCAAGTTTTGTTTGTTTATTTCTAAACCTCGGGTGTAAAGTTAGTTAAAAAACAGAGAGGTTAGGATGACAAAATCCACGGCTCGACAAAAGCTGGAATTAGCCGATTTCAGGCTAAGGAAAAACAAAGGGAACATGAAAGACAGATAGAACTCATGCGGCTGAAGAAGGAAGAGAAGGAAGAAGAGAGGAAGCATGTGGAAGAAGAGAGGGGAAAAGAGAGGAAGCATGCACTGGAGATGGAGAAGGTAAAGGCTCAGCAGAATATACCAACAAACCCTAGCAATCCTTCTCCAGGTACCACTCCCCATCCCAGAAAGTTCCCCACCTACAAGGCAGGCGATGATACTGAAGCCTTCCTAGAAAACTTCGAAAGGGCCTGCCTTGGGTACAACATCTCTACTGATCAATACATGGTAGAGCTGAGGCCGCAGCTCAGTGGACCTTTAGCTGAGGTGGCAGCTGAAATGCCTAAAGAACACATGAACAAGTATGAACTGTTTAAATCCAAGGCGAGAGTCAGACCCGAGCAGTCTCGTCGGAGGTTCAGAGCCCTAAGGTGGAAACCAGACGTGTCATTTACCCGACATGCCTACCACACTGTGAAATATTGGGATGCCTGGATATCAGGAGCAAGTGTTGAATCTCCAGTAAATTTGCCCTTCCTAATGCAAATGGAACAATTCTTAGAGGGTGTTCCTGAGGAAATAGAAAGATACATCCTAGATGGGAAGCTCAAAACTGTAATCGAGGCAGGAGAGATTGGACCAGATGGGTGGAGGTGGCCGAGAAGAAGAAAACTGGTCGCAGTTGGAGCGGAGAGCAGAAGGGACCACCCCAGACCACACCCTATCACCGGGGGCCGCCCAAAACCCCACCTACCTCCCAAAGAACCCTCCAGACACCTTATCGTCCCGCCACCCCGTTCTCCAGCAACCCACCTTGCCCCAGTGACCCGTCAGCTGGACGATGTTTTAAATGTAATGAGCTGGGGCATGTAAAGGCCAACTGCCCCAAGAACCCCAACAGATTACAGTTCATTGCACCAGGATCACACCAGAGGTCTGCAGGCCCAGATACCTCCCAGATACCTCCCAGATACCCTTGAAGCGGAGGGAAACTGTGAGTGTGGGCGGGAAGAAGGTCACCGTGTGGAGGGACACCGGAGCACAAGTGTCAGCTATCCATGCTTCCTTCGTGGACCCCAATTTAATCAACCCAGAGATCCAAGTGATGATTCAACCCTTCAAGTCCAACTCTTTCAATTTGCCTACAGCCAAGTTGCCTGTCCAGTACCAGGGCTAGTTAGGAACGTGGACTTTTGCAGTCTATGATGATTATCCCATCCCCATGCTGTTGGGGGAAGACTTGGCCAATCATGTGAAGCGGGCCAAGAGGGCAGGAATGGTCACCCGTAGCCAGGCTAAACAAGCCGTGAGGCCTTGCTCTATTCCGGAAACTTCTATCAGGACCCAGTCAGAGGTGATGGACCCGGACCCCAGGCCAATGTCTGCAACAGCAGTAGTGGATCTAGTCCCAGAGATCCAGACGGAACCAGTCCCAGAACCGGAACCAGCGGAACAACCAGCACCAGACCATTTGCCAGCACTAACTCCAGTACTTGCAACCTCAACACCAGAGGGCCCCACCGAACCTGAACCGGCAACAGCCCATAACCCTACACAAGAGGCTCAGCTGGAGCCTGAACCCCAACATAGTGTCCCAGCAGAGAGCGGTTCACAGTCAGTGGAAACAGCCCCATCCCCTACATCGCTTCCAGAGGGACCAAGCATAGGTCCACAATCCAATGAGGAACTGATGTCTCCAGCATCAAGGGAACAGTTCCAGACCGAACAGGAAGCAGATGAAAGCCTCCAGAGAGCTTGGACGGCGGCACAGAGCAACCCACCGCCTCTCAGTTCTTCTAATCGATCCAGGTT